ATGCATATGTAGGAATTGGTAATCATGCCTAGCAAAGCTTAGTATTGATTATTAATGATGTGTTACAATCCATCCGTCCTGTCCCATTGTTGTACATCAATTCTAAAAGAAAATTTTGATATATAAACATAAGAACAATGTGACCACTCGTGTAACAATATTATTGATTTGAGTCTCTCGTTCAAAATATTTCTAGCAAAATGCATTTGCTTGCCTATCCACCTACATTTTCTATCTACATCAATTTCCTTACACCATCCACATACAAAGCAAATGTGACTGCACATACTACTGGGAGGCTTTTGTTAGACTCTCTTCAATTTTGTGTAATGGAAAACAATCCCATGTATAAACTAACTTACAATGACAAGGTCATACGTAATGACGAAACGCTTGAAAAATTGGGAATCAAGGTAGATGTCTCTTAATATTTTGGATTGAGTATGACTACTAAAAGAGATAGGCATACAGTACATACATGACATGACAAATTTTCTTAAATTTAGGAAGGTGACAAAATCTTTGCAATAGAGAGTAAATATCCATTATCAATGCTGACAATGCCAAAACGGATTGTCCCAGCATCAATAAAACTTTATATAAAAACTCCTGCAGGAAAAGTTATAACACTAATATTATCTTCGAGTGACTTCATCGAGATCATTATTCAAAAGATTCAAGAAAAAGAAGGCATTCCCCTTGATCAACAACAAATTTTCTTCAATGGAAGAATATTGAAGTATGGGTATACGTTGGCATTTTACAATATTCATACAGAATCCATATTAAATCTTGTAATCGAATCTCATTTAGAAATGTTTCAAATATTTATAAATATTTTACGTGGAGAAGAAATTTCTCTAGATGTACATTCAAATCTCAGTGTTTATTTCGTTAAGTTAGCGATTCGAGAAAAAAAAGACTTTCCACCTAACATACAGGCTTTAATTTTTGCTGGAAGGCAACTGGATAATGATTGCACTTTGGCGGATTGCAATATCAAAAGTAAATCCAAATTACATCTTGTACTCAGAATTAGTGCTGGGATGTTTCACGAAACTAGTGGTCGAAAAGAGTTCAATGCATTACCACCACTTACGCGATATACACAAACATCTGAAGAAAACCTACAAGATGGTGTTCATATTGGTATTGCTTGTGACTCTTGTGGTAAAAGTGAATGGAAAGGAGTAAGGTTAGTGAAAATATTAAATGATTTGTATAATATCCATTCATTTTGCTTTTCTGATGATGCAATTCTGCTTACATTATGTCCCACACTTTTTTCTGTTCACAGATATAAATGTATGGAATGTAATGATTATGACTTGTGCTATGAATGTATAAAAATATCCAACTTACTTCATAATACACAACACCAGTTTCTAAAAATTATGAATCCATTGAATACAAAGATTGTTCAAAATGCACCGCCATTGCTCCAGTTACCATCTCCCCAATACTTCCAACCACAAAGGAAGAGATGTTGACTTTATTACGTGAAGAGGAACGGTTAAGATTGTCGCCAGAAATACAAAAACAATATTATAACGTTGGGAATGATCCCACGCTTGGAATAGACTGGATGGATGTCACTGACCAGATGCAGAAAAAGTTGGTCAAAGATTTTGGCTATTCAAATGAAGCTGTACAATTATTGCGACGTGCTCCGCAGCTTTATAAAGGTAAGATGAATACAATGAAAATATATCCTATTTGAAGTTATTTACTGTCAAGAGATTTTTGATGAAAACTTTACCTTGTCATATAGATGATCCTGCATTTCATACCACTCAATTATATGTTCGCAATAACATTGCTCGTAAGGGAGATCTCACGGAAGGAATGAAAGCACCCGATTGCCCACTGGTTCCTCTAGAATCATTAGCAACTACAGTAGAGATTAGAAATTCTGGTACACCGATCACGATTTCCTTGCATTCACTTTATCGTTCAAGACGACCTCTTGTTCTTCTCGGAAGCTCATATACATGTCCTTTATTTCGATACATGTCTCATGTACTCAATGACATATATGAACGTTATCAAACGCATATAGATTTCTACATGATTCAAATTCGAGAAGCACATGCAAGTGATGTTTGGCCTATTGGTAATATCATAGATGTTAAGAAACATCGTACATTAGCTGACCGTTTATCTGCTGCACAAGAAATGGTCCGGGCAACACAACTAAAGATTCCAATGTTGGCAGATACCATGGATGATACTTTCCTAAGATTGTATGCTCCGTGGCCTTTTCGCTTCTTTGTTATTGTAGATGGCGTTTTGAAACTTGTGGGGATGGTAAAAGATGCATGTTACGATACTACAGACCTGGTCGATTGTCTAGAAGTTCTCTTGAAAGACAAATATGAGTATGGTGTTGTATAAAACATTGATATGCTTTATAGAATTAGAGTTTACTTTTTATTTGAATTACTATTTTTATTAGCATTTTGTCATCTCTATTATTTATTAAAGTGTAAATTTTATCAAGCTTAACATTTGTACATCTTCACGATCTATCAAAAAAAACTACTCATTTGTCCATGATAATCAGAAGTTTTACACATTAAAAAAATAAAAAATGACAAAAATAAAATAAAATAAATAAAAAATTCAAAAATAATTGTTATAAGTATTTGATGATACTAAATGCTCCATGGGTATAGAATAGCCAAAGAATTTGTAAATTTCCAATAATATTTTATTTTTTCATTCATTTGAAATCATCTTTATTAGCTATTTTAGCAGGTTTCTAAAAAAAAAAAAAAAAAAAAAAAAAAAAAAAAAAAAAGATTAAAATTAGTTAATAAAACATTAGACAACTCGTAAGTTAAATAATCGAAGCTAAATATCGATGAGAATAGCCAGTTTGGTACAATTTATCAAATGCATATGATCAATTATAGAATTTTCATCCTCCTCTCCATGCATGCAATGCAATTTGTAGTAAAAAAAAAAATTATTCAATATTACACGATTGCTGAAAGATGTAACGAAAGTAAAAGAAAAGTGTAATTGTTTGCTGCCAGTAAAACTAGAACGGCTTTCTGAACCTTTCATGTTTTCTTTTAAAAATAAAGATAATTTAAATATTAATCTATCAATATTATAACATTATAATCTATAAGTTATTGTGTTTTGTATAAAGATAACAGTTTACTCTAGTCGAACAAGCTGAGATACTGCTAAAAACAATAATAAATACAAATAACGTAAATTATTTAATGTGTTTCAAAAAATTTACAATATAACAAATATTATAAAATGAAATGATACTTGAAGTTTAAATAAAATACAATAAAACTTCATTTTATAAAATAAGCTATATATATAAATTATTCGCATTCGAACTATCCTTAAGAAAAATACAAACAGCATATAATGATTATAACCTGACCTGAATCGATAATAATTCTTTCTTTTATTTTCATGAAAGTGTCCAACAAATTCTTCTTATAATATAAAGTTTTAATATTATAATGTTTCAAATTAATCTGTTCTCTTTTAAATATTTCATGCTCTCTTATGTCGAATCTTCCTTCTACAGATCTTATACTTTTTTTATAGTGATTTTTACTATAAAAACCGCAGTATTCAAACCTTTCCGATAATTTAATAATTTGAAAATCCTCGCCAAACTTGTGCCAACGCTGATAATAGCATAATCTTAATTTTTATTCTACTTAAAACAGCATCTTATAATTTCATAAATATAAATGAAAATGTAAAGCTTTCATTGGTATATTAGGATTATATCCTTCAAGAATTTCATTAGTTTCTTTCACTTTAACAATTTTTAAAGTTCTTGGTTTGTTGTCGCAGAATTTATGAAGAATTTCAGGAGTATATCCAATTAAATTCATACGGATTATCAAAAGTTTTATAAGATGTATATCCGTATATAGGATGTTTAGTTTCTTATAAAGCACATTTGAAATTTAAGTATCATTGTTGCGTCTAATAACCTCATAAAGATATTATTTTTTATATGCTATTAAATCCCCTCGTTGATAATAATCTACAAAATAAATAAATATTGACACGTCATCAGCAAGTATAGTTTCAAGAATAACATTATATTTCCAAATGATTATGTCCTCAAATATAAAATTGCTTTATAATATAGTGCAGATAATAGCCAGTAATTTTATAATATCTGGACGCTGGTCCAAACAACTTTTCATCATTTGATAATAAGCCGGTAAGGTTTATCGAGAATTAGAATATTCGAGTCGCACCTCTTGTAGAATTATTAAAGGTAAATCGTCGTATTTTTATGGTAAACCGTGTCCAAGTTCATTATAACTTAAATATAAATATCTGAGGATCGAGTATGAGAAATTCCGCCTAAACTTGTGGAGAAAATCCCAAATGTATTTCACCTAATTCAAATTATACTATTAACGCTATCACATAATGCAAATAAAGAAAAAGTAATTATGCTACATTTTCAATACATGTACTATTCCTAATTTACTGAATTATTGCAATATCAATAATCATATAATCCATGATATTTATTTATACTTACCATGAAGTTTTATAATAATCACTTTTCAATATTTTTTAAACTACCATCTGATGCATATTGAATTATAGCATAATATTTTCTTGTGTTCGGATCCCGAAACGCCATACAATCGAAAAATTCTACCACTGATGTTGAAGCTTTAGCTAATAGATAAAAAAATGTGTCAATAATTGTCACGATTATATTTTAAATTAACTATACATTTTATAAATAATTTAGAAAGATTCTGCGAATTATGTTTTGATTTTTAAACAGGAATACTAAGTTTCCGTTGGGTAATAATAGTTTCATCATACCAAAATCATCTTTCCTTTCTACATCATTCAAATTCGCAATTCATCAATCAATTTATGGCAATCAAGTCTACCAGTCATGATAGCTTTTGGTTTTATAACGGAAACATCGTCTAAATTGATCACTCTTTATTCGTTCTATTTTAAAACTTTTACAGAATATAAGGTAAAATAGCGCCAAAATTACCAAAAATGACATATTGTGTAATTTAATTGGAAGGAAAAGCTCAAATATTTATTTAATTATATTTTAGGAATTTTATAAAAAAAAAATGTTACAACGAACGCGACAAGTACGTACACGTATGCCATTACGCTTTCCTTATACATTTACTCTTATCACACTTACTTATATCCTTGCCCCCACTTCGTCAACTGTATTTTCTTCTATTCACTCTTCCCTCTCCACGTGCTTCTGTGTCTGCATTACAACTAGAAAAAAGTTGTTTTTTCTGATGAAACAACACCAGACGTTTAGAATACCATGTGTGCATGGTCTCATAATACACAGCCAATTGCCCCTATGGTAAAGCACCCATTCAAGGATCATGTTTGGGCAGCGATTAGTGCTAAAGGAAAAATCGGCATTCATTTGTTTACTGAAAATTTGGATCGTCATTTGTATCGAAAAATCTTAGACGACCATCTGTATAAAAACGCGGATATGTTATACAGACGCGGCTGGGTCTTCCAACAAGATAATGACCCAAAACACACCTCACACAATGTTCAAGGGGACTTGAAAAAACATCTTCCAGGACGAGTTCTTTCTTGGCCTTCATATAGCTCAGACTTGAACCCTATTGAAAATGTATGGGCTGTATTAAAAGGAAAGGTGGAGAAAAAGATCAAATATTTAGTAGCAAAAAAAATAAACATTACCTGCGATGTATTCCTTAATATAATCCGGCAGGAATGGGACGATCTTGATGAAGCCATGTTACTTCGATGCATCGAGAGCATGCATGCCAAGCCGGGTTAAAGCATGTATCAATGCAGAAGGAGGACACACCAAATATTAATTAAATATATAAAAGTTGTCGTTAGTATTGTTCTTAAAATAATAAAAAATATTTATACATTAAAATAAAGTTTGTACATACTGTCGAAATATGTTTCCGCCATTCTTTTCGCCGGAGATTGTATATATATACATTTTTTTTTATTAATTTTTAATTTCATTTTATTTATTCTTATTTAATTTAATATTTTTATTTGACTTTTTTTACCTTATTTTCTTAATTATTAATAATAAAAATTGCAATTTTAAATACACCAGAGACTTATTGTTTCTGAAAATTAAAGCATTGCCCTAGCTAAATTGCTAGTAAAAATAATAAATATTATAAACAATAATAAAAAGAAAATTTCGTCACGCATCTGACTGCATCACCGTGACGAACTGAAGGGTGTCACATCCAAAAGGACAGAATCGGTCCTAACCAAAATTGAAAAAAAGCCATTAGATTTGATTAATGATCAAAAAAAATTAGTAAAATAATAAAAAAAGTTACCCACCTTACTGCGTCGCTGTGACAAACCAAAGTGGCGAATCTACTGATCTAACCTATAAAATAATAAACCAAAAAAATAATAAATAAAATTATTAATTAATAATAATGAATTGATTAATTATTTATTTATTAAGTAAATAATTAACAATAGGAATAAACAATACATAATATTAGAAAAAAAAATGCACCTGACTGTGCCACCGCAATAGACCAAATCCTTTTTTTAAAAAAAAAATTAAACAACCTTTATTCCTTAAGGTAGATTCCTCCTCTACCTTTACCTTTAACTTATCTTCTACCTTTTAGTGTTAATGTTAGTGTTATTGGCTTAATATCTGTAAACTTAAATGATAAACTTTTTAATTCAATACGTCAAATTAAATACAAGACAATATCACAATCACGCCTATATGAAGACATGACAAAAGGCAATAGTAAATGAATTTAACGAT